ATTACATTGAATTTTGTCTTTATGACCTAAAAAGTGTTTCTTTGTTTTTAATTACAGATTTCATACATTTTTATTTTTTCTGGTTTTTTTTTTGTTTACTAGGGAGCAGGGATGTTCACCAGAGTGGGGAGAGAGACAGAGAAAGTAAGAAAACACCCCCTTCATGGAAAATGGTCACGTCAGAGTTCCTTCTCCATATCTGCCACCTTTCAGAGTTTGGGGCATGCTCACATATGTACTCATTGTGTTTTTCAAACCACCAGGTTCAGAACTGAAACTACATGGTCAGCCATGTGGATCCAGCTGCCTTAACCACCATACATATTCTATTTTTTTAGAGAGTTTTTGGTCTTGTTTTGTTTTGGCCATATGGCACATGCACTGCTGGAGAGACAAAGAGACAAAGACATAAAGGGAGAAGTCTTCCCCCAGGGTGATGGTCACACCACAACCCCTTTTCCAGTCTCCTCTCGGGATTTTGCATACACTTGTGTAAGTGCCCAGTGTGAGGTTTAAGCCTCCAGGTCCAGGACTCAAACCACGGGTGGACTACATTGGAGTTCAACAATGTAAGCATTACGCCATCTGCTGGCCCCAGCCCCTCCCATACATACTCTTAGAGCTTAAGCAGTAGAAACTAAGCTACAGTCCAAGTAGGTAATGAGAAAAGCCTGAGCATGCCAGGTGTCCCACATGTGTCCTTGATCTGGGCCACCTGAGACTGGGGCAGGTTACAGCATGGGGACACTGGTGGGGATGCCTGTGTTCGTGTGTGTGTCGCTATGGAAGAAATAAATAATTTAAAAAAAAAAGGGCAGGAAATAGGACATAATACAGTAACTAATTTTTTATTGTAACTTTCATTTTCTAAAACTGTTATACACTACTATAGATAATACTTATTTTATGTGTGCATTCAAGTTTCTGTACATCATCTGTACAAAGAAGTTGTAATTGGAATATTATAGAACTCTTAAAATAATTATGGTCATGGCTTTATACAGTTGTAGCATGAAGAAATAACCCATGTTAAAAAAATCAGAATAAAATATATATACTGTGCATACAATTACATGGGAATGTTGTATGCTTATGTACAAAGCCTAGAATAGAACACAGGAAAGTACTGAAATGCTGCGGTCATAGATGGTTTTAGTTATAAGTTGTTTGTATTACAAAAAAATATATATTATTTCATTGATTTTTAGGTGATTCATTTGAAATAACTTCAAACTTATAAGAATAGTTCAGAAAACTCTCTTACTCACCTCAACTTCATTTCTTTTTCTTTTTCTTTTTCTTTTTTTTTCTTTTTTGGAGAGGTTTTTGCTATAGGGCACGTGCGCTCACCAGACAGACAGAGACAGACAGAAAGTGAGAAATCACCCCCGAGGGGGGATGGCCACACCACAATCCCTTCTCCATTCTCTTCTCGGGATCTTGGGCACGCAAGAAATCACCCCCCATGGGGGATGGCCACGCCACAATCCCTTCTCCTCCATTCTCTCGGGATCTTGGGCTTAAACTCACACCGGGTGAGTTTAAGCCACCTCGTCCGGGACTCGAACTGTGGTTGACTACGTGGGAGTCCAGCAACATAGCCATTACACTAACTGCTGGTCCCTCAACTTCATTTCTTTACTCTTCCTCTCCCTGTCCATAGACGTTTACTTACATATATATGATATATGAGGATATATATTATATATGTAAGCATCCACACTTGTACACACGTGTTAGTCTGTTTTTAGACTGAGAGCTGCAGACATGATTCTAAATACAGTTTGAGTATTCCTTATTAGAAATGCTTGGGGCTCGAAGTGTTTGGGATTTTTTTTTTCATTTTGGAATATTTGCATATACATAATGAGGTATCTTGGGGATGGGTACCTAAGGTAAACACAAATTTGCTTATGTTTTAAATAAATCATATACATGTAGCCCAGTGGGAATTGTATTCAGTAGTTTTGTACTATGGCCTGCTCTCACAAGAGGTCAGGTGTGGGATTTTCTTCTTGGGGTATCCTGTTGGCACTTGAAAAGTTTCAGATTTTGGAGCATTTTGAATTTTAGATATTCTGATTAGAGATGCTTAACCTGTAGTTCGTTGTGTATTTCCTAAACAAGAATATTCTCCTTCATAATGACTATAGTGGATTCAAATGACATTTCCCCAGTGTTCCCAACAGTGTCTCCCTTCTAATCCAGGATTCTGCACTGGAACTTGTCATATTTCATGTCTTCTCAGTCTCCTCTGATCAAGAAAAATTCCTCCCACTCTTAAAGCTACCCTCTAAATTTCATGTCCCAGCAGTTCAAGAAGTAAGGACCTCGCTTAACCTTGGACCACCCAGTTTCTTCAGCAGTTGGGTCATGGCTTAGCAGGAATACCACGGAAGTGGTGCTATGCCCTGTTCTCTATAGCTTCAGGAGGTTCTGCAATGTTGCTGACTGCCAGCTTCCTCCACTGTAGTCATAGCGGCTCCCTTTGTATTATATTGATCAGCATCTTCGGGAGGCATACTCCAGTATTGTACCAACATCCTTTCCCTCAATAAACCCACAAGCCCTAGGCTTCATTGACAACTTCACCCATCAGCTGCTTCTGTAAAGTTGCCAAAATGAGGTTCTTGTCTCTTTCATTCCCCCTGCATTATTAGCGCTCTGTAAGGAGCATGTTCCCACCTCTCCTGGTGTGTGTGTGCTCGTTTGTTTAGGTTAACATGGAATCTGGATTCCAAGTTTATTAATGGATTATATTCCATTACTGTCATTTTGGTGCTTGCGTTATTTCCAGCGTTGAGTGCTTCCTAACTCTGTGGCACAATGAGGTGACCCAGGCTTATCTCATGCTCTGACATGGAATTGCCATATGTGTACATGAATATGTACATGTGTATATGTGCATTCATACATGTAGCACATTTAAAACCATTCTAAGTGTCTACTATGTATGTAAACTTAAGTGCCATAATTTAATTGTCTATAACAATAGACTCTAATGATGACCCAACACCTTAAAGTTCTTTCTAGTCTTTCTTGTTTTTAGATGACATGTGTGAGACTGCCATGTTTTTAAAGGTGGATTTGGTTTATTTGCTTTATATGTTTATTTCGTGGGTGAGAAAGACAAACAGAGCAATAGAAAAACAGCATCCCCAACAGGGTCCCAACTCTGTGATCTCCCCTGAGCTCTAACCAGCCTTAGACCATGGGCACTTGCATGCCCAGCATACCCAGGGAGGCCCCCAAGTGCAAACCCAAAACCCTCTGTGTGGGTCAGCCCTCCAGAGCATCATGCCTAACTGCTGCCCCACCATCCAGCAGCAAGCTCACCATGTGTTTACATAACCATCTGCAAGGAGAATCCTGGCTGTCATTGTCCTCAGTACATTTCCTCATTTGTTCATTGTAATCAGTCTTGCATCGTACGGGCCTGTTGTCCACCTTGCCACCTCAGTGTCCTGTATCCTTGGCTGCTGACAGGCACACCGCTGATACCATTTGTGCAGCTTCTGCACTGCACCCCCAATACCTTGGGGGACTGAGGGCATACTGCCAAAACACAGTTTCACTTGCATCCTCCCTTGTTCACTGTCCTGCTGCAAGTCACAGCCTACTTCATGTTTTATAAAGTATCCCAAAAGAATAAACAGGAAGATATGAAAGAGATCATGTACACAAAACCTTTTGTTTTTGTTGAATTCCTGTAGCTCCATTAGAAAAGTAGCATTTTTATAAAGACGATAACTATGGTGTTTATTATACCCAAATTTATTACAGGTAGGAAGATACTCATAGCAAAAGTGTTCTATTAGCAGGGCCCGCAGATGACATAACAGTTCCTGGATGGCTCCCATGTAGTAATAGATTGCCACATAGTTGACTGCAGTTTGAGGCCCAGACCCAGCATCTTAACATTCATACAGGGCACATGTGTGTGCGTGCCCAGCGTTCCAAGAGAAGAATGGAGGAGAAGGGATTGCAGCATGGCCATCCCACCTGGGGGGTGATTTCTCACTTTCTGTCTGGCGAGTGCACACGTCTTATAGAAAAAAACTCTTCTTTAAAAAAAAAAAGTGTTCTATTTGGTTTATAGGGGTAATGTACTCTACAATCCCATTAGATAAAGAAAAAATTTAGAAGGCATGTCAAGGAAAGCTTAACTATTCACCGTTTATAAGAATTAGTGAGGGCTGACCCTGTGGCTTAGTAGTTAAGGGAGCCAGATCCCACATGACCCTCTGCAGTTTTAATCCTGGCCCTGACAGCTTGAAAAACACTGGGCACATGTGTGTATGTGCCCAAAATCCTGACACATTTTAAAAAATGAGGAGATGGGACTGTGATGTGACCACACCTCATGGGAGGGTACGTTTTCCTTCTCTGTCTCTCTAGCTCTCTCTGGTATACACGTGTATTCTCTGACGAAAAAAGAAAAAGAAAGAGGAATTATTGAGACTGAATTGTTTTGTCTTAATTTATTTTCAGGTTGAAAAAAAAAATAAGAACTTCATTGTTCCAGAGCAATCTTTGCTGAGACCATGAATATATTGTTAGTTAGACACGTTTAATTTGACCTGTTTGCAAATGAGTGAGGAGGGTCTGTGTGGATTTATATGCATATAAGCCAAATCTTTCCAGTTATTTTACATTTACTTCTTATCTCAAAATTTAGAGAACAAATTATTCCCTATGTATCATAAGGCAGATCAGAATCTTCCCCCAATATTCAGGACAAATGCCATTTACTTTTAATAATTAGTAGTTGTAAATTCTGCCATGTGTCGAACACTGCTAAGTAATTTACATGTACTATTGAATATCAGTCCAACTCCGGGAGAAATGTGTTATTGCACTTACATCACAGGTGAGGAAAATTAATCAGGAGATTGCTTTTCTGTTCCATGGCCTCATTAATCTGCCCTGTCTTGAGCATTCTTTCTCCTCTGAGTTTGGTTTAATTTACTTCAATAAGGACTGCTTAATTTGCTTTCTAGGGATCGAAAATTGTACAACTTGGGACTAAAAGGCTACTACGTCAGAGGAAGTGGCAACAATGCAGGTAACGTACTGTAAACCTTTTGATCCTTTTTAGGGTAAAATCAACCATAATATTACATTAATTTATGTAGAATTTGTTATAGTACTATATTGTTAGCATAAAATGTAATACTTAGAAAATAGTCATATAAATTTAGACAGTCCTTAGTTTCAGAAACTCTTATCAAAGCAGGTCTTTCAGTTCCGGCAAGCAGCATGGTGGTTAAGGGCGTTGGATTACCACATGGCTGACCATGGTTTGAGTCCTGGACCTGGCAGCTTACTTTCTCAGAGAGAAGAGAGGGAAACTCTCCCACTCTTTCGCTTTCGCTCTTGCTCTATCCCTCTCGGGTCAGATTTAAAATAAATAAATAAAGTTAAATAATTATTTTTTTAAAAAGAAGATCTTTCCTTTTCCTGTACTTTCTGTATGGACTTAATGTAGCCTCTTTTGCCATGTGTGTAGCTTACTCCCTGAGTTGTCACTATTAGATAAGAGCAATCTGGAGTTTGGAGCTTTGAAAAGTAGATAATATATAGTTTCTTCATCAAAATTGTATGGTATAGTTATGTACCATATAATAGCGTTTCAGTCAACTATGGACCTATATATACCACAGTTGTCCCATAAGGAGCAATAGGTTATACACAGAAGGAGCATAGTAGGCTTTGCCGTCTAGGATTGTGTGAGTACACTCTTAAGATGTACGCACAATGACAAAAATTGTTCTTCAGTACATTTCTAAGAACACGTCCCTTCACTAAGCCATGCCTGACTGCATAGGTAAATTCTGGGCAAAGATGCATAGTCTTTTGCCAAAAGTAAAGAAGCGGCCATTTGGATTAATTATCCTAGAGAGCAGCGAGGATTTGGGCTACACGTTGATCCCACTTCAATCTCTCAGACTTCCCTACCCCATTTGTCCTTCGACACTGACCTTTTACATTTCTAGACAGAAGACTAGTGTTGTTAAAAGCCAGAGTCAGCCCGAGTACATGCATCATAATTATCTCTGACCCTTTCACTCTCACAGTGATGGAACAAATCTCTGATTCTTCATTTGAGTCCCAGGTGAGATGTGTTTTAGTGCTATGCCGTACTTAGGAGGTTTCTGTAAACACTAGGCTCCACCACAGAAAACATGCATGACACAGAAGGAACATAAAATTTAGCTGATTGTATTCCCATTTTACTCTCTCCTGAGCTTTTGTGAGTTCACCGAGTAAAATGGTGAGTGGAATCCTCTTCGTTATTTAGATAGGCATCTTCCTTCCTTTTTTAGGAGCCTATGTAGTACAACCCACACTCAGGAGATGTGTCCATCTCCGTGTTTGCCACTCTGGCACCGCTGTTCTGTTGCCCTCCATCAAGCTGGGTACAGTTCAGCCCTACTGAGTATGCCAGTACGGAAAATGAGTTGTTCTCTCATCCTGTAAATGGTTAATAGAGCATTTGAATGGCATTTTGTCTGATTAATGATACAATTTATTAGATAACCACATTAGAATAAGTAAAATTTGTTCCTTTGTAATAAATGGGTTTTTTAAATAAGAGTTATAATTAGGACTCTTGAAAGAATCTTCCAGTTTCATAAATTTCAAACTTTTACATACTTCTCACCTCTCTTGTTAACAGCTCCTATGATAGTAATGTTAAGTCCACTGACCGCATTGAATAATTTTGTGGATAAGGCATGTGAACGTGTAAGCATTTTCCCCTGTCCCCTCTTAATTCCATCGTCAGTATTCTGCATAGTGCCCAGCTCAGAATAGACGCTCAAGAAGCATTAAGTTGGATAGGCAGCTGGATGGATAGTGACGGAGCTAGGCAAGACATTTTTCTCTTGATTATGCATTGGCTATCTTTGTTACTTGACTATATTACCATCGCTTCTTTTTCTTTTTCTTCCCCTTAAAAATAATAATATTTGCATACCTGTATTTTAAACAAGTTGCATAATCATTCTTGATCTCAGATTCTTCTTTAAAATGAAGATTTAAAAAAAAAAAAAAAAAACCCCTGCCACTAAATGTTCTTTAAAACTGAGCTAACCAGTGCTGACCCTAGGAGACCAAGCTACAGAAGAGGAGGAAGAAGATCATTCCCATTGGACTACAGAATCACGTGACAGCAAAGGCATAGACCTAGAGGAAAGTGACCTTGATTCTGAGGCCGAACTAATGAGAAGTATGGGACTGCCCCTTCAGTTTGGTAAGATATCTGCACATCAGAATTTTGAGGTAAATATTTATTTTATTTATTTATTTTTTAGTTTTCTTCATAAACTATCATAAACTTTTTTATCCCAAGTCAGTTGCATTCATAATTAGAGCACTCCGTCTCTTTTTAAACATATGTACTTATTTAATAAATGACCAAAACTACAAGTGTTGGTATGCCCTACATTGACTTTTTCTCTTCTTGGGAACTTAGATGGTAAGAGTCACTTCTTTGTGTAACTATTGTACAATCTCAGGGTAAAGTTTAAGAGTATTTTGTGATTTAATGTCAAGATAGACTTAGATTCTTCTTTTTTTAATAGCTTATGAAGTGTATTGTATGCTTAATTTATTTGACATAGGTGTGTATGAATACCAGAAATAAAGTTAAAAAAAAGGAAAAAAGAAAAAAGAAAAAACATCAAATGAAGTACTTAGATGAGATTATGCAAGAATCTTGGAGAAAAGATGAAGAAGATGACATATTAGCTTCAGATGACCCATCTTCAGTTGAACAGTGTGAGAACTCTGGCACATCCAAACTTCAAAGAAAAAAGGATGCTAAAACAGAAAATCTGCCTGTTGAAAATATATTATCTCCAAGTCCAGAAATTACAGAGAATTGGGAAAAGTATTGGAATGAGTATGGGGAACAATTGCTATGGCAAAGCTGGCAAGAAAATCATCCAGATCAAATACTGTCTCCTGAACCTTGGAACTTTCCTGATACAAAGGAAGAATGGGAACAACATTATAGTCACCTTTATTGGTATTATTTGGAACAATTCCAGTTCTGGGAAGCTCAGGGTTGGACTTTTGATTCCTCACAAAGCTGTAATACTGAGACTTGTTCATCTAAAACAGAAACTAACAATAAGAAAGATGAAACCTGCATTACAGTTGACTTAAAAGCTTTCCCATCACCTGCTATACTTGGTAACAGCAGCCCTGATCCAAGTGAGGAGGATCATAACAGGATACTTGATGGGATTCGTAATGTAACTCTGAGCTCAGAGGGAACACTGCAAAGCCAGTTAGATTGTGTTGTAAGTCTTGATGGTCAACAGCAGCCAAATGGAGTTAGCAGCACCAGAGAGTACCCTGCATCTGGCCAAAGTGAACCATGTAATGGAGCAGCCCAGGAAAGCAATTTATCTGGCAATAGAAGCAGAGAACAACCTGCTCAGGGTAAGATTAGCGAGTATTTACTCTGCTCAGTAATTTATACCAAAATGAATCATCCTTCTTTCTATTTTTTTTTTTTTAATTTCTGAAGGACATGTGTGCTTACCAGAGAGAGAAAGTAAGAAAACATATCCTCCAATAGGGCATGGTCACTCAATTTTTTTAATCTATCATTTTTTTGTTTTATTTTGCTTTTAAGTTTTTTGCCATAGGGCATGTGCACTTGCCACAGAGAAACAGTGAGAGGAAAAGCAAGAAATAACTTCCAGGGGGGATAACCACACTGTTACTCCTTCTCCATTCTCCTCTTGGGATTTTAGGCATGTACAATTATGTGCCCTGTGTCCAGGACTCAAACCATAGTCAGTCATTTGGGAGTCCAGCGCCTTAACCACCATGCCACCTGCAGGCCTCCTCTTGTATTATTTTTTTTTATTTATGATTTTTTTTCTAGTTACAAGTACACTGTAATTTTCTTCTGAAACTTTTTTTTTAAATGAATTAACTTACATTCATTCCCTGAGCATTGTCACAGCATACAAAATGTGATTTCCCATCCAGAATATACTGCATAGAGGCTTAATCATACATGCTCTCATCAATAATTTTCCATTTCTTGTTTCACGTGTGTGTGAGTGTGTGTGTGTATGTATATTTTGCCCCTATTTCTGACCCTCTGCCATTTCCCACTCTCCTCCCACACTATCTCAGGTGTCTACAGTTGTTTTCCATTCCTCCCCCCCCCCCCCGTTTTATTGATTCACAAAATTTCTTAAATAATCTAACTACTTTCAATAGCAAGTTCAGATGGTATGTACATATCTGTGAATACATGTCTGACTTTAGGCATGAAACTCTGAGTAGCATGACTATACTATAAGGTAGCACCTAGCTGATGCTATATAGCTACTATGGTCATTAAATAGGTATTTTTTAATTTCAAGGAAAGCAGTTTTAACTTTAATAAATCAAAGAAATGCTAAGGAACTTTCCTTAAAACTTAAAGGCAGGAAACAGTTTAGGATTCTGTTCAGGTAGTAAGTACATGAACCTATCATCAGCTTAAGACAGGACAAAAATCCTTAAAACTGGAAAACAGCCTAGAAGAAAATCAGCAATATTTTAGTCTAAAGTCATAAAATGTTGTTTCACCATTTCACTCTCATGTACCTAATCTGCCTTCTGTTTGATCTTTCCGATTAAATTCTGGCATGTAATATTCAACTCTGGACTTGTCCCTATGGTTAGATTGACCATTTTCTTAGTTTTTGTACTCGTATTTCTGTGTGTGTACTTAATTTTCCTGGTATAGCACTCCTTTGAGAACTTCTTGGACATCTGGTCTGGTGATGGTAAATTCTTTCAGGTTTTGTTTATTTGAGAATGTTGTTGTCTTTTCTTCCCATATGAAGAAAAATCTTGCCATGACAGTATTCTTGGTTAAAATTGCTTTTCCCTTAACACTTTGAATATATTTTCCCATTCTTTCCTCACTTGCATTGTTTGTAATGAGAGGTCCACTGTTAGCCTGATGGGATATCCTTTGTAGGTAACTTGCCATTTTTCTCTTGCCAGTCTTTGTCTTATCTCTGTCTGTGGTTTTGGTCAATGTGACTATAATGTGTCTTGGAGAAGATCTTCTTGGGTTGATTCCATTTGGCATTCTTTGTATTTCTTAGGACTGGATCTTCGAGTGCCTCTCTAGGTCTGGAAAGTTTTCTTGCAGGATTTCATGGAATAGATTATCAATGCCCTATGAGTCTCTTCGCCTTCTGGGATATCAGTTACCCAGATGTTTGGACGTTTGATGGTATCTAGTATTTCTCGTATATTATTCTTTTTTTTTTTTTTTCCGGAAATTTTTCCAGTCTTCCCGGTAGTTTTTTCAGCAGTTCTATATTCTACGTTTGAGATTAAATTGTTTTGTATGATCTAGTTTGCTTCTAAAACTTTCAAGGGAGATTTTGACTTCCTGTATTACAGCTTTTATCTCTAACATGTCCATTTGATTCTTTTTTTATAGTGTGTATTTTCTCTTTTAGATCTTGCAAGAATTTCCTCACCTCCTGGAACTCGTCAGCTCCTTTCTTCTTCCTCTTCTGTAGTTCATTGTCTCTCTTCTATCTGTTAGCTTCGCCATTATGAATATGTTAAATTCTTTATCAGACATTTCTACGATTTCCATTGAACTGTCTGTGGATGAAGAGGAGTTATTCTTTTCCCTTGGAGGAGAGGTATTATCTTGCTTTCCTATATTTCTTATGACCCTGCAGTGATTTCTAGTCATCTGATGGATGGCGTGTTTCTTCCTAATTCTTGAAGTTCAATCTGAGCGTTCAGGCGCATGCAGAAGGTGATTTGGAAACTCTTTGCCGTTGTGTTTTTATCCTTTTGTGCAGCAGATCCCATGGGTATTGAGGAATATGTTAACCCTAATTAGTATTTGGATATTTGGCAATGGTTCCCTTAGATCTGCCTAGAAACACAGTGAGTGGAGATTGAGGAGCAAAGTGATGAGATAAAAAGAATAAGAAAACAGAGAGAAATAAAGAAATAGAGAGAAAAAGAAGGAAAAAATTTTATTTAAACAAAGTTAAAAAGCACGCAGCACAGTTCTCAGCAGCAGTGGAGGAGTCTTTTTCTGAAGGCATACCTCTTGCCTCTCCACTTGAGTTTGGGGTCTGGAGGCTGAATTATCAGTAGAAAATCTTCATTTCTCTTTTTTCCCTGAAATGACTAGTTCTCAGCAGCAATGACTAGTTCTTGGCCTCCTACTGTATTTTTTTTTAAGAATTATTTATTTAATTTTATTTATTGATTCATTTATTCTAATTTGACCAGAGAGACACACGGGCGGTGGTGGGAGGGGAGTGAACAAAGCAAGCCACCAGGTTTGGGACTCGAACCATGGTCGGTTATGTGGGAGTGTGCAGCACCTTAACCACCACGCCACCTGCTGGTCACCCCCCATTGTGTTTTTATACCACAAACTTATTACCCTTTTATATTAAGAATGTCTGCATAGGATCCTCAGGATTTTTTTTTCTTCTTATACCTTGGTAACCAGTGAAAGAAAACTTGGAAATCTCTTCAGAAAACTAATTTGAGTAAACTTGGAACTTTTAGTTTTTCCAAGCAAATTAGTTTCTAGGAAATCTGTTAGAGTGACTTAGAGCACACATTTGACCTTAGGGAATCTGTTATGAGTCATGTGGAACTCATTCAAGACAAGTGAAGTCTTGTTCTTAGAGAACTTCAACAGGTCATGACATTAATTTTTAACTGGAAGGGTTGATCTCAGGATTCTTGTCAATAAAATATTTAGTGTAAAGAACTTCACTGATTCCTGGAATAAGTGATTTTTACCAAGAACTCATTATGTAAATTGGTATCACTATCAGGGCTAGAAAGAGCCAATGAGAAGTGTGTGTTAAGTGAAATTAACCAGAAAGGGGGAGATGAGAATACTCTTACTAGGGAGAAGAGTTCCACCAACTGATAGCACTAGAAAAATGGGAGCGGAGGAAATAAGTCTTAGGACCCTTGACATTTGATGCTGGGAAATTTGGTATAGAAAAACTTTTTTCTGAACCTTACTCTTGTGTGAAGCAAGAAGTTTTGACATTTCCCTTAACAGTTGGTTTTCTTTGTTCATCTTAGATTACAGATCTTCATCTTGTTGAGAGTTTCTGGAAAACTCTATAAATTTTCTTATTTCTCTTTTCTCCCTACTGTTACAATGGAGCTAACCTCAGTACAGTATTCTCATTCTTTTCTACTTTGTTATTTTTAATCCTTTTTTTATTTGATAGTTGTAGATTGATCTTCTGATACTCTTCTATGCTCTTCTAATCATTTCTGTACTTACTTTGACCATTAACTTTGTAATAAACGTATTGGTCAGTGAATTGGCCCCTGTCTTACTAACTCTCCTCCCTCATCTTCTTGCTTTATTCCTTTGTCAACACAGTAAACCTCCTCACGGTCTCCGCCTTCTATTGCCTATCCCCTCTTAGGTACTTGTATAGATTGGCCATTTCTGTAATTAGCTCCAGTGTGTCTGCCATCAGGATCAATTTAAGGATTTTTGGGTTTGATTGATTTTAGATCCTCCCTTGAGATCATGTACAGTATATGTTACATTAGTGTGTAACTGTATGTTTTACCCTTTGAGGTTGGTGTTTTCCTGAAGGAGTCTGTCCCCACACTGTCAGAACTTCCTCTGCCTTGCAGATACCTTTCCCCTCTGGTCTCACCTACACACTTGATTCCAGTCTGCTGAAATGTAGAACAGAGACAGATAGCTGCCTCAGTTGGAGCCCCCACAAGTTAAAACTACTCTTTAAAGGTAGGACTTGACTTTGTTATTTCCATCGTTAATTTAAGAGTTATCAGAAATAGAAATATTTGCTTTGTAACTAGAAATTATTATTTATCAGGTCCAGCAGGTGGCATGGTGGTTAAGGTGATGGACACTCCCACATGGCCACCCACAGGTCAAGACCTAGGCCTAGTGGCTTGCTTTCTCACTTTCCCTCTCTTTCTCTTTTTCACCCTCTCTATCTGGTTATATTAAAATAAATTAATGAATACATAAAAATAAATAATTATTTTTTAAAAAAGATTATTTTTTATCAATGTGATTATTTTGTCTATAGAGTCATTTAGGTGGAAATTCCACAAGAATGTAACTGCCATCTGCCACCAGGAAGGTAACTTTGTGAGTTAATTTGGATAAATTCAGACAGCTATGAAGAAGTAATTTTAGTTTGCTTTTTTAAATTGATAGATCATGGACACTTTACCCTTATGTACACAGCTATGATGTTTTTAGCCCAGATTCTGCACGTAGACAGGTAGGCAGGTGGATGTGGCCTGGACTTTGCCTCATGTGCACATCTGGTTCCTCACAGGGAAGGTACCAAGATATTTTGATTACCTTTGCAAATGACAGTAGAGTTCACAAACTAGGTAGAAATGCACTGCACTGTCTTTACCTCTTTAGAGCCCCAAGAGTCTTCAGGAGCAAACACAAACAATAACAGACCACAGAGCGACGGAGCTAATGGAGATGACAGTGAAGAAGATCCACCTGAGCATCAGCCAAGCAAGCTCAAGAGGAGGTAACTGCTTACATCTGTCATTGGATTATAACTTTTCTGTGTGTATATATGTACGTGTTTACATACAATGTATTTTTTTCTGTATGCATTTGACATTTTTTTTTCTTAGTTCATTTATTTCTTCCATGAGTAAATGACAGACACAGAGAGGCAGCACCCCCGATGGGTCCCAATCTCCAGTCCAAGCCTATACCTGTTGGTGGATTATAACTTTTATGTGTGTGTGTGTTTGTAAACATACACATATATCATTTTTGTGTGTATATATGCATATATATATATATATGTATATATAAAATATACTTTTTTTCCTGTTTATTTATTACTTCCATGAATGAGAGACTGAGACACAGAGAGACTGCACCCCAACAAGGTTCCAGTCTCCAGCCGTAGCCAGCTCTGGATCATGGGCACTTGCATACCCAGCATACTCAGGGAGATCCTCAGACTTGAACCTAGAACTTTCACCTGTCAGTCAGCCTCACAGGGCATCCTGCTCTGCCTCTGCACCACTGTCCAGCTCCTACTTTTAACTAGTAATTGGAGGTGTGCTTTCACATGCTCTCTCATCAATTCTAATTTTTTTCTCAAAAATCTAGGTATATACTATCTAGTTTTTATTGCCAAAATAGGTTTCAGTCTAATGCTGTCATTTAATAGATAGGGATACTGAGGCAAACAAGGTAAGTGACTTGCTCAAAGCTACTTCCCTACAGTCATGGCTCAAGCTCAAGCCCAGACAACTCTGCCCAAGCCAGTGCTCTGTCTGCCATCTGAACAGTGTAATTAAAAAAGCAGAGAATAAAGTGGGATATGGTGAAGTGAAAATGCTGTCAGATGCCCTGGAAAGGGTGGATTGTTAAAAATTTGGATGTTACCTGCATATCTTTGACAGGATGTGAGGTGCTTCATCTAAGACTTTTGTTTATACAGCTTCTGAAAAAAATCAGTAGGAATGGTAAGCAAGCTCTGGTTGCTCAGTAACTTAACGCGACTCTGCTGTATTTCCTGTCAGTAGACTTGCCTTTTACCTCCATTGTTCCTGCTAATTCTTGAAGGCAGAGGTCATGTGTGCTCTTAGATTCCTGGAACCTCGTATGTACTTGATCAGACATTCAGTGAGGGAGCCAGGCAGTGGTACAGTGGTAATGCAACTTGACCCACATGGGAAGGTCCTGGGTTTGCCTCCTGAGGCCACACTGTACACACCAAGATTGTACATGTCTGAGATCCTGGATGGCTGAGGCTGGGGGTGGTTCATAGCTCAAAGACCTCATTAGGGATGTCGCTCTCTTTCTCTCTTATAGAAGAAATAATAAATAAACTTTCTTTAAAAATGTTCATTGAGCTTGGGAGCAGCAGATGGTGTAACGGTTAGTCACCAGACTCCCATGTAGTCGATTACAGTTCAGGTCTCGGATCCAGAGTCTTTAAACTCAGGCTGGGCTCATGTGCATGCGTGCCCAGAATCCCGAGAGAAGAGTGGAGGAGAGGGGATTGTAGCATGGCTGTCCTCCCTAGGGAGTGATTTCTCACTTTCTGTGTCTCTTTCTCTGGCAGGTACACGTGCCCTATAATAAAAGTCTCTCTTTAAAAAAAAATGTTCAGTAAGCTTAGTAAGAAAGACAAACTTAGAAGAATCATTTCTCACCATTCTCATTTACTTAGTGTCATGCTATCATGACCAAGGGAGTCAGCATCACTGCAGGGTATTCTCGATCTGTGTGTTCTCTCCTGGCTACTAATATTTTTATTGTGACCTTATTCTTCATAAGAATATTTTTTTCCTTTCAAATTTTTTTGGTTATGTTGATACTTCTCAAATGTTTCCTGGCTTTTAAGGAAATCTTCTGAAGAAGTGACTCTAGAAAATTAAGGCTGCAGCTTTTACTAGTGGTTTTCCAAAGAAAATAATGGGGAGATCTATATTTGTACCATGTTCAGGAATAGAGATAATTACTTGACGTGGTTTAAAATTTGACTCTTATTGCCTTGTTCCACACTGCTAGATACGTTTTCTCATTTGAAAAATCTTAATTGAAGTACTTTTTCTCCTGGCTTCCTGAATTAGTGAACTATGGTTGATTGTGATGGGAAAGTTTGCATAGAGTGGTTGTATGCGCCTCTTGTTTGCCTGAACTGATGGTCTTACCACTATTTGCTGGTCATGGCTCATCACTATTCACCTCTTTTATCTGTTTAGTCATGAACTGGATATCGATGAAAACCCCAATTCAGACATCGATGACAATGGTTCTCTTCTAGGATTCAAGCATGGTTCGGGGCTAAAGTAAGTATTTATAAGAGCTGTTGTCTTTCAAAAATCCTAACCACTTCACCTGTTTTAAAGCTCTTTGGTATTTAGGTAGTTAATAAATAATAATACACTTGATAGTTAAGAGTTACAATTAAACCAATGACCTCTCCCATTAATAAGAATTATAGTAAAAGACCTACTGGTTAAGGGAGTCAGATCCTACATGACTGACCATCTTTGAATCATGGCTCCAACAGCTTAGAAAACATACCAGTGCAAGTGCGTGCATACCCTACATCCTGACAGGATGGAGAGATGGAAGAAGAGACTGAAACTGACCACATCCCCACGTGGAGAGTGCTTTCTACCTCTCCCCTCTATCTCTCTGGAGATCATGTGGGCCCTCTGACCAGCAGTTAGCGTAATGGCTACATTGCTGGACTCCCATGTAGTCAACTGCGGTTCGAGTCCCAGACCCAGTGGCTTAAACTCAGCGCCGAGTGTGTGTGCATCTGTGCCCAAGATCCTGAGAGGAGGATGAAGGAGAAGGGATGGTGGCGTGGCCATCCCCCCTGGGGGGTGATTTCTCACTTTCTGTCTCTCTGTCTTTCTGGTGAGCACACGTGTCCTATAGCAAAAACCTTTTAAAAAGAAAAGAAAAGGAATTGTAGTATAGATCATCATGTACATTTGATATAGTCATATATTATCTGGCCAAAAAATTTTTTTTTAATTTTACAGTAAACTAGAAAATAGACCTGACATTTAAAACCAAACCATTCCATATTTCGTACATGATAAAGAATACATTATACTCCTAAATCCTAACAGTTTATAGGAGAGAGTTAGATGAGGCCTGATACAGTCAACGAAGACTTCATACCAGATGAGCCCATTTTAGGTCTGGAATATTTGGATAATTAGAGCAAATATTCCCCAATCATTTTGCTGACAGGAGTTTGCTTCTGTCGTAAGTTCAGGTTGATTTATATTAATCTAGCAATTTCCAGACAATTGAAGCACATCCAGATGTGTATTAAAAGTGTTTGGCATCACCTCATCTTGAGAAAATTGATTTCTCTAAAAAGAGAGCATGTTCTCTTTTGATATTTCTTTATTACAGTCTGCTATGTAATCTCTACTTCCTGCTCTGTATTAACTGTGTTGCTCTTTTTAACTATGACATTTCACATTTAAAATTGTTAGTTTTACTCTCTCTTCTAAAAGGAAACATACTCCTCGAACTTAAGGTGTGAGTCCTTTCTTTTGGTCATAGGTATGGTGGGATCCCAAACTTTAGTCAGCGGCAAGTCAGGTATTTAGAGAAGAACATGAAGCGTAAATCAAAGTACTTGGACATGCGCCGACAAATAAAGATGAAAAACAAACACATCTTCTTTACTGAAGAATCAGAAAAACCGTATTTCAAGAAAAGCAAAGCTTTGAGTAAGGTATGTATGAATTTTGTTTTATACTTATAGATAGAATCATGTTTTGTGAGCGTATCTCCTGAAAATTGTTGTATTGAAATGGGAAGCCTGTTTCTACCAGATAAAATAATACCTAGAATTCTTCTCCCCTTGCTTTCTGAAAGTAAAGTTCTAAACAAGAAAATTAAGGTAACGCGAAAAGGGGATATTTGAAAACTACAAAGCAGTGTCTAAGAAGAAAAATCAATCAGACTGCCTTCCTGTGTAGTCACAAGAGACAAGGGCCAGAGGGAGTCCCTCATCTGTTTCAGCTTAAGCAGGAGCCAGTCGTTCATGTTCTGCTACAGCTTTCACTAAAACCTTAATTCTGGGGACCAGCAGTTGGCGTAATGGCTATGTCGCTAGACTCCCATGTAGGCAGTCGCGGTTTGAGTCCCAGACCCCATGGCTTAAACTCACGCCAGGTGTGTGTGTGTGCGTGCCCAAGATCCCGAGACGAGAATTAAGAAGGGATTGTGGCGTGGCCATCCCCTCTGGGGGGGTGATTTCTCACTTTCTGTCTGTCTCTGTCGTTCTGGAAAGCGCACATGCTCTATAGCAAAAAGTTCTCAAAAAAAAAAAAATTAAAAAAATAAAACTAACAAACAAACAAACAAAACCTTAATTCTGAGCTCACCTAGATGTAATTATCACTGAGGTAACAAGTTCTCCTCCTATGGTGAAACACAAGACCAATTTAGTGATTCACATTGTTGGCTCGGAATTCATATCTCCTCCTTTAGACTTAGTTGTCCTTACTATTCCAGTTCCTAGGAATCAAAAGTGATTAGATTGCTTGGCTTGATGAGTTATCCTTCTATATTTATTCTGGGGAAAGTGCCTTTTAATGAGCAGAACCTTGGTATTAGTCACACCTCCTGCAGCTCTTCAGAGCGGTAGAGCATAATCTCAGACTGCGATGACTTTGTTTTACCCTTATTGTATGTCATCCTTCTTAACTTCAGCATACTTGCAAACATGCTATGAATTTGTGGCATGTATGCTATATATACACATATATACAGAGGGAGAGAGGGTTGCATATCAACAGCGGTACGTTCTGAGAAGGATACCTCTAGGCAGTTTGACATGTGTGATAGCACAGTGTGCTTACACAGACCTAGACGGCCTAGCCTACTTACTGCTTACCTAGGCTACATAGTGTAGCTTATTGCTCTTTTTTTTCTTTTTAAAATTTGCTATAGGGCACATGTAATCACCGAGAGACTAGGGTAGGGGGATGAGAAAAGGCCCCCGGGGGATGGTCATGCCACAGTCCCTTCTCCTCCATTCTCCTCTTAGGAATTTGAGAACACGTGCACACATGCCCAGCATGTTTTTCAGGCCACCTGGACTGGGGCTCAAACCATGCAATCAGCCGTGTGGGGTCCAGCTGCCTTACCCACCATGCCATTGGCTGGCCCAGCCTGTTGCTCTTAATGGGACCACCATCATATCTGTGGTCTCTCATAACAATGACCAAAACATTGTTATGCAGCATATGACTGTACTTCATGTTGGTTAGTTGCTGGTACTAGTTTAATAAATATTTTAGAGACTCTGGTTATATCTGAAACGAACTGCCTAGTATCACTTCAGTCAATCCTTTTCTTTCTTGATTTGTTTTAAAGAATTACTTTATTTATGTATGTATTTATTTAAATTTGTCCAGTGAGAGAGAGAAAGGGATCATGAGAAAGCAAGCCACCGGGTCTGGGACTAGAACCACAATCAGGCATGTGGGAGTCCAGCGGCTTAACCACCACACCACCTGCCAGCCTATCCTTTTCTTAATGTATTGGGCATTATAATCCTCATACATTGATCTAAAGACGAGGATGGGAGCATAGCTGCGGAGCACTGTCAAGGAAAAGAGAAATGTGGCTGTTGTGTCCTTCAATACCTGATTTATGTATAGGCACGTTTCCTTCAGAGAAATTCTGGGTGATTGCCCATCTTAGTCTACCACTCTCATTCTAATTCACTCACTCCTACGGAGGTCCTGAAGACCGGATGTGAAGAATATTCTTGTTAGAGAAGATACAAGAAAGTATTCACCTGACCTGGAAAAAGTTCATAAATGCTTATTACAAAAAACAATGGAGTTCATGCAAAGGCACATGCACTCACCAGAAAAGAAATGCAGAGTGAGAAGAGAACTCCCCAGTTTGGTGTAGCCAAACCACAATCCCTTTTTCTCCTGTTTTTCTATCAGGATTTCGGGCATACACTAATGCATTAGCATGTTTTCATGCCTCTGGGCTAGGACCCAGACCAGAGTCGGCCATGTGGGATCCAGCTCCCAATGTACAGGCCAGCCTGGGAATTCAGGGGTTTTTGACCAAAATAAACTCATAGCTTAATTTCATTTTTCCATGAACTTTTTGAAATCCCATCATGCATGATTTTAAAATTAAAATTAATAATAAGGTACATTTGTAAAGATAATATCATACAGTAGAAATCATTATGGAAAACTACTGGGATAGTTTTACCATTATTTTATTATTGGATCATCAGAAAAGTCATGATGTATTCTGTTTTTCTGTGCAAAAGTGCATCATGACTTTTCCAACGACCCATTAGTATTCATTGAAAACAGGAAATTCTCAGTCTCCCCCCCCCCTTTTTTTTTTTTTAAGAAATCTTTAATAAGATTACGACATGCCCAAATGACAAATTTCAGTTACCTCAGAATTATATTAGCTTGTGTGATAACATGTACTTTACAGAACTAATAATTATGACACAGCGTATCAGTCAAATCACAAATGGCAAAAGGCGGAAAGATTCTGTCGCACATAATGACATCTTAAAATTTCAGGTAGAAAAATTCCTAAAATGGGTTAATGAGCCAAAGGATGAAGTGTCACAGCAGTCATTTTCTAAAGACAGTGGGCAAGACACTTGCACGAGCAGTGACTCAGAGGAACAAGACATGTCTGTTAAGACACGCGATGACCCATCAGAGCCCAGTAATCCCGATCCTGGCGAGAGTCAGACCATATCTTCAGTTGGTGAGCTCGACCCAGAAAAAGATGGAGGAGACATCCTGGTAGCAGCTGTTCCAGATGAGCAGGATTGTGTTCTTCAAGATATACCAGACTCTGTGCAGGCGGAGACCGAAGGTAGGCAAAAGTGAGATCCTGTCATTCAGTGCAAAGTGGTGGAATAGAGACGATGTAAAATGAGTGAAATAAGCCAGACTATGAAAGACAAGCACTGTATATCCTCACTCTAGGTGTATGCCGAATGTCTCCACTGTGTGGCAGAGATGGAAAGATTAGAAGACACAGAAGAGAGGACAGCTGTGGATAAAATAACAGAGCTCATTGTAATGTGATCTTTGTTGAAAACAATGATTATGATAGTAGCTTTGATTTGATTATCACATGCCACATACATGCTTTAAAAATCCATATTATATCTCAGAAAGATGTACAATAGTGAAATGTAAATAAATTATAAGATTAAAAAAAAAGAAAGTGAAGGTAAAACTAAATACTCTTCAACTTTTTAAAAAGCTCAGGTAGAGCTTTTTTTTTTAATTTTGCCAGAGGGCATATGTTTACCAGGGTGGAGGGGAAGCACCCTTCATGGGAAATAATGGTCACGCCACAATCCCTTTTCCATCTCTCCCTCCTTTCTGTATTTTGGATACACACATACATGTGCTCCTGGTGTGTCTTTTAAGTTGCCAGGTTCAGGGCTCAAACTGTGCACTTGGTTATGTGGGATCCACATAGCCATAATACGATTTTCCTTCGTTTTTCTTGTGAATTATTTATACCTAAATAGTCACTGCTATTTATTTGTTTTTTAAATGTTGTTTTGTTTTTGTTTGTTTATTTTCTTCATGAGCAAGAGGAAAGGACAGGCACCCTCCCACAGGGTCCTCCCACTGCTCTCCATCCCCAGCTTCAGCCTGGGTACGTACCTGCCTGGCATGTTCAGGAAGGTCTCTAGAATGAAACCAGTACCTCCCAGAGCATCTCACTACTACCACCGTGCCACCGTCCAGCCCTGCTATTTCTTTCTAATTAGTGAGAAGGCATATTAAGTGTGAATGTGCTAATTGGCTCTGGTTTGGTATCTAAACGTTCTTCACTCTTGGCCGAGAAAATAAGGGAAAGCATTGGAGAAGACTGCCTCCCAAGACCATGGTCCTGCGACCAAGGTCTCTGCCCTTGAGCTTGGTCTCTGCAGCCATTCCATTCCGTGGGCCGCATGTGGCCTGTCCTCCTTAGCCTACTTAGAAATTGATACTGCTCTGGTTTTATGTTTGACGATTCTTTTTCATTTTGTTGTTGTTCATGGGTGATGGATGGCGGTAGTGTTTTGTGATGGTATATTGATATAAAAAAATATTCACAACCATTGGCACTAATGAACAGAGAGCAGAATAACATTTCACTTTATGCCCTATTTTACTGTTTGAATTCTTTATAGCAGAAGTTCTTGGATGATAAAAACTATTAATTGTATTCAGTGGAACACTGATATTTTTATCAGATAGAAATTTTAGTTTGTTGTAGTATTCAGTTTATTGATGGGTTGTTTAGACTTGTTCTTATGAAACAATTACCATTTATTGTGATCCTCCCTTGTTTCTTAACTTAGTCTTGAGGAAAATACTTTGAGTCTGGGTTATTTTCCCTGCCTTTGTGCAGATGTGGGCATATGTATGTCTTATGGTCTTTGAATCACAAATTTACATTTTTTTCTCTTTTCTGCCTGATCTTATTCTTAACTTTTCTAGTTGTCAGTGTTATAACAACTGATGTTCTGAGATTTTAGATTTCTGAAATACTTTCACATGCCTTACTATTCTAATTTAATCTGTAAGATAGCCCAGTGATACAGGTGAAATGTTCTCTAGTCTATAAATATGAAAAATAAGGCTCAAAAGAGTTAAGAAATTAGCCCAAGGAGGTGGCATAGCTAGGGCCTGCACCAAGTTCTCTGACTCCTGAGTCCTGTTCCCCAGCACTATGCTGCTCCATGGACAGCAGCTGTCCTGTGCTGGGGTTTCTCTCCTAGGGTGGCCCAGCCTTCACGGGGGCATTTAGAAGATGGTTGGTAGAATGGCCGAGGCCGCAGATTATGCAGCATTATGTTGGATGTGAAACGGTCTTGCACAACATGGAATTATTCCACCCAAAATATCATTGTTGCCCTGGTGTGAGACACTCACCATACTTCGCTGTTGGTAACACCTTTTGCCATTGTCAATGATCAGATGACCATATTTAGACATTGTTCTATGCTTGGGGACCATTTAAATGTCACAGAGTCTTATATTTGTCAGCTCTCTCCTTGTTTTCATACTTGCCTATAATGGCACCCTTGTTTTTCTGTGTTGCTGCTTCTAATCAGGACTGAAACTAAATGGCCAAACTAATAAAAGTAACTTGTCTAAGAAGAACTCGGTCTCTGAATGAAGGAGATCCTTTTCTATAGGACAGAACTAGTAATCTCTGATTCAGAGGTCCTGGAGGTCAAGTGCCATATAACTTCTAGGATGATGTGGCTGAGACCCTGATGAGTCATTGGTGATTTTGTGTTAAAAAAGTAAAGGAGGGCCAGCCATGTAGCTCTGTAGGTGGTTAAGGGAGCCAGATCCCACATGGCCAGCTTCAGGCCAAATCTCCAGCCCAGTGGCTTAAAAAATACATCAGGCGTGTGTGTATGCTTGCCCACAGCCCTGACGGGGTGGAGAAACGGAGAAGAGATTACCTTGTGACCATGCCCTAGTGGAGGTACATCTCCCGCACGCTCTCTCTAGTGAGTGCACACACCCTCTGGCAATTAAAAAAAAAAAAAAGTAACAGTGAAGGGAAATATTTAGATTTTTATAATTCACCAAAAAGCAGCACTTTGGCTAACAGAAGCAATAGGTTTTATAATAGTTGTACATATTTTCTGTCAGTGCTGTGAATGAAGTAAGGAAAGTAGTGCTCCTTAAGTCATTCCTTTCATAGGAATTAAACAGTGGAGCTTAAAGGGCTGGCTCCATGGTGCTAAAGTAACGCACTGCTCAAGAGAAGCCAAGTCCCACATGGCAACTAGTTTGAATCCCAGCCCAGTCAGCCTGCAACACGCCAGACGCGAGCCCAGTATCTGATGGGGTGGGAGACAGAAGGACAGGGACTGTCATGTGACCAGTCCTGTGTAGAGCACTCACCTCTCTCTCGCTGTCACTCTGCCTCTTACTCTCACACATGGCTCTCTCATTAATAAAGAGAAATCCTAATTATTTGATAGGCTACTGTTTTAGATAAATTCACCTGTGATTTTCTTTTTTCTTAGCAAGCATGTACATTCTTTCATTCTGTTTTAGCTGAAGTGAAAAAGAAGAAGAGGAAGAAAAAGAAGAACAAAAACAAAAAGACGAACAGTCTGCCTTCTGAGATCGCTGCTGTTCCTGAGCTGGCGAAGTACTGGGTCCAGCGGTACAGGCTCTTCTCTCGTTTTGATGATGGGATTAAACTGGACAGAGGTAAAGTGTATGAGCTTTATAGGTTTTAACTTTACTTTTAAACCATTTTAAACTTACAGAAAATGCAAAAATAGTATAGTTTTTAATATCTCCTTTACCCAGAGTCAGCTGTTTCAGTTCTTTGCCACATCTGCTTTATCGCTCTCCGCTCTGAGTATGCATGAATGTGTCTGCTTCTGAGAGTGGTACATGCCATGCGCCATCCCTTCATACTTCAGCGAGTATTTGCAGAGAACAAGGATGCTTTAATGTAACAGTAGGAACCATCAGTTTTACATGATCACAGTACCGTAACCTACAGTCCTTACTCTGGTTCATCTGTTGTCTTAATCGTCCCCTCCATAGAATTTTTGTAAAATCATGCATTTAGTTTCATGTTTCTTTAGTTGCCTTTAATCTGGACTCGTTCTTCAAGCTTTTTGTCTTTCACGACTTTGACATTTTTCAATGGGACAGTTACTTTATAGATATTTATTTGTGTGTGTGTGTATATATATATATATATATGTGTGTGTGTGTGTGTGTGTGTGTGTGTGTGTGTGTGTATGTATATATATATATAGCTATAGATATATATAAGTATATATCTCTTAACAATTTCAGAACCTGAAAGAATCAGGTTCAATCTGTATTTATAGCATCTTGGTATAGCTAGCAAAAATAAGTGATAGATTATTAAAAAAGAGCTGATGAAGGAAGATTCAGTGTAGAAAGATTATAATTAAATTAACATTGGCCATTTTGAATTCTTTCTAAAGTTTATCTGTTATGAGCTGGAACAACTTAGCTCAATCTTGCAGACCGATAATTAATTTTTATATTATTAGGAGGTCTTCATCTGTGATGGAATTTTAAGGGTTTTATGAACCTCAGTAATTTCAAAATGTATACTAAGTACATAGAGGTTTGCTAGGAGGAAAAAAAAAATGAAAAAACTTGACATTTTATGAAAGGAGTTTATATTCTCATTCTTCTAGTAATGAGGAGCCATTAAAAGTTGGTAAGGGAGGGAAGAGGAAAAATTAGGAAGCCATTTTGTTAAAAAGTATATTTTTAGGGGACCAGCAGTTAGCGTAATGGCTATGTCGCTAGACCCCCATGTAGTCAACTGCGGGTTCAAGTCCCGAACCCGGTGGCTTAAACTCACGCCAGGTGCGTGTGCATGTGTGCCCAAGATCCCGAGAGGAGAATGGAGGAGAAGGGATTGCAGCATGGCCATCCCCCCTGGGGGATGATTTCTCTCTTTCTGTCTCTCTGTCTCTCTGTGTCTTTCTGGCAAGTGCACATGCCCTATTGCAAAAAAACTCTCAAAAAAAAAATACATCTGGGGGGGGCGGCAACCTAAGTTTCTTCTGTTAGGAAAGAAGGAGGCAGTACTTTCTTTTGAAAATGGTGAGGATTCTGCTGTTCCTACTTATCTTTGCAGCTTTCTGGCCATTTGCAGTCAGCTCCTAGCTTTTTCTGACCTTTTAAAAACATGCAAATTTTTCCAGAATGTCCAGTACAGATTTGGGTCATTGCTTTGCCCTTAGGAATGAAATAACTGAGAAACCTGGTAGAGTATGGGGCACTAGCTAATTAGAGCAGTCAACTTTTCATTTTCCATAGCAGATAGTCAGTGGTTAATGTCTCAAAGAGAAAAATCAAAGCTGTGTTCAGCTACTGGAGAGATGAGGGTATATCACAAAACAATCAGGTTAAAAACTGAAATGATTGCTCCCATGGAAACTGAGAAATTGGGAATACTGCTGCTTTCTATAACAAGCTTTGTGGAACTTTTCTTTAAAACTGAGTAACTTACAATTTTCTGAAATGGGAAACAGCATTTTTAAAATGTACAATATATAGTGCCATTTGCTATGATTATGCTTGGTTTGGCTTCTTGAAATTGAACATCTTAACAGAAATACCGTTCCCTTGCAGAAGGCTGGTTTTCAGTTACACCCGAGAAGATCGCTGAGCACATTGCTGGCCGGGTCAGTCAGTCCTTCAAGTGCGACACTGTCGTAGATGCATTCTGTGGCGTCGGAGGAAACACCATTCAATTTGCCTTAACGGGAAAGAGAGGTAATTAGCCATCAATGGAAGAGAACTATTTCCAGTCCATTCAATAAATACTTGGTTTCAGCCTGCATTTGCTGGGATTTAATGTATAATTAGCCATTTAATACCAAATATTTAGGATAATATCTAGTGTGTATTCAGCGTGCATGCCTAACATCACATGATTATCGCATCAGTGCCTTTATCTCGGACTGGTGTCAGGTGCGTAATATGTATTAGTTTATTTAGTCTGCAGTCTCATGAAATATGTCTTCTACCATCCATATTTCACATCTCAAGCTGAGGTATAAAGGATGAATTAACTTGTTTAAAATTATATAGACACATTTGCCACTGGTGGAGCCAAGATCGTGACATTCTGTAATACCAGAAATACTAAAATGGAGACCGTTCTTTAGAAGGACAGTGAACAGGGAGCCCCAGCTTGGCTACCCCGTCACTCTCTCTATGACTGGACATCATTTAATCTTAATTTAAAGGAGAAGATGAGGGCCCAGCAGGTAGCATAGTGGTTACAGTGCTGGATTGCCACTTGACTAACGATGGTTTGAGTCCCAGACCTGACAGCTTGCTGGGAATATGTAGCATAGCCATCCCCATGAGGGCTGATTTCTCACTTTTCCCTCTCCCTTTCTCTGGCATCACATGTGCCCTATGGCCAAAAACTTTTTAAAAGAAGAAAGTTGAATTGAGATAAAGATACCTTTTAGCTTTCACATTTTAATACTTTAAAACTCTTTGGATATTATTTGTCCTTGTGGGATTTTTATCATTGTTTTTGTTTTTTCACTTTAAGTTTTATTCCATGAGTGAGAGAGAAGAAAGTACAGTCCCCCCGACAGGGTCCTGATGCCACAGTCCACACCAGCCTCAGCTAGCCACGTCACGGGCACACAAGTGCCTGGTGTACCAGGGAGGCCTCTGGCTGCAAATGAGCCTGCTCGTGTGGGTTTGTATTTTACTGCTGTGCCCCTACTCAGTCTTACTTCCTTTTCTTTTGTCCCTCAGTCACATTTTCCTGGTACAGCACAAGCTCTTGTTAGAATCATGAGGATGAAAACCTCTGTCACTGTGTGTTCACTAGTAACTGTCAAGTAGACGGCTTGCTTTTTCCTGGGGAAAGAAGCCTACTTGACATTGAGTGTTCTGCCCAATCTGACAGGGCTGAATCATGGAACTTTTTAAAATGTTATGTAATGTGATATTTTAAAGACAGGCATTGTGCAGTCATTCCTAGAAGATGTTTGTGTTTTTTTCAGTGTCTTCATTTTATACACACCAGCGACAGTTCCGATGTCAGCAGGTTTCAACTGGGTCTCATCAATTTATGTTAAGTTCTTAATGTCAGCAAGAAAACATAATATGATTCTGGAAAGCATAATATAGAAACTAGAAAATAATAATCTTAACATTGATATTTTTTGAAGACCACTGCTGATGAACTGTGACCCCTATTCATTTACTCCTGTGCTCACGGCATGGCATTTGCTAACTTTTTATGGTCTCTTGACAGACTAGATAAAAGTTATTGTTATAGAATAGTCATTGTTTTCTTGTTTTTTCTGAACTCACCATTTACTCTCAAAGTTCCTTTCAGACATTGGCAGATAAGTCATTCCTCTGAGCTAAAAATCAATATTTATTGCCTGAAAATGATTTTTCCTCAAAAGTTATAAAATTTTTTCTTCATTTTGGCATTGTATCAGAAAAGATTGGGAATTTGCTCAAAACAGTGTGAAAATAGTCTATATTGTAAATTTGTATTTTTACAAGTCTAGATCTATTGCCAAGGTGCTCTGTAGCTTGGTACACATTTGGTAAAGTAAAATATCTAATGAGGGTCTCACGCTAAAGGAGAGTGCTTCTGACATGTTCTCAGAGACCAGCTCCCACCATGGTTCCTGCGTGTCTTAACATCATTCAGCAGTGCAGCTGCTGGCCTCTGGGAAGAAAGGGAGCACACAGCCAACCCTGCACCTTCGCAGTGCTCTCTGGCCTCACTTCTGTCCTTGCAGGGTGTGGGACTGGAGCTCAGGGAGCCTTCAGCTTATTTAGCGCTCCCCAGACAGCAGTAGCAACTCACAGATACTCTCTGAATGTTAGTTACAGAGACCCCTCCCTTCCTCCCCTTAGGGTTCCCCTAGAGTGATTGAGCTGACCAAATTATGGCAGGAAATGCAAAACAAATGCGTACATACATATACACATATAATCATTTACACTGACTGCTTTTTAAGTTCCTGTCATAATGTATGTGCATGTCTTTCTGTAGACAGACATGGGTGTAAAATCAGTTATGCTTCAACTGTTTGTATAAAATGACGTTGTGCATAATTGATAGTTCCTGTCTATGTACATACGCAAGTGAATGGTTAAGATATCTGCAGTTTTGCATTTTGCTGTTTAAGATTTCTTTTTTCCTTCTATGTCTTCCAGTAGATTGACATCCTTGCTGCCTGGCAGAACTATTTACGGTGGACATGTTCTATATCTGCACATCCAGTATGGTAGCCACTAGCCACACGGCTACTGAGCGTCTGCAGTGTGGCTGCTGTGACTCATGAACTTCTCATGTGTCTCATTTTAGTCAGAGGAGGGAGTAGCCACGTGCAGCTAGTGGCCACCATTATTAGACAACACAATATATAGTATCATTGAATATTGTCAGCATTTCATTTATGCGATAGAGTGAATGCTTACATTCTGTAAGGCCTGCAAATCAAACCTATCTCCAAAAAAAAAAATGTAGATGAAAATAAGATTAACTGAATAGATTGGATGTTAATGTAATTTTTTTCTTTTGACTTTTTGGTATTGTCAGCATATCTTTCAACTGCCTCTGAACTGTAAATGTAGCAGATTGAGCAGCTGAGAAGGATCGTTTCTCTTACGGAAGTGGATGTTAGTTTATTTAGTACAGGAAAAGCAGCACTGTAAATACACCATTTTACAGTACGCGTTAGAATGGGTGCTTAGATTCATCGTTGAATTGATCTTTATACATTATTTTCCAAAAATATTAGCAAATTTTGAGACCACAATATATAGTATCATTGAATATTGTCAGCATTTCATTTATGCGATAGAGTGAATGCTTACATTCTGTAAGGCCTGCAAATCAAACCTATCTCCAAAAAAAAAATGTAGATGAAAATAAGATTAACTGAATAGATTGGATGTTAATGTAATTTTTTTCTTTTGACTTTTTGGTATTGTCAGCATATCTTTCAACTGCCTCTGAACTGTAAATGTAGCAGATTGAGCAGCTGAGAAGGATCGTTTCTCTTACGGAAGTGGATGTTAGTTTATTTAGTACAGGAAAAGCAGCACTGTAAATACACCATTTTACAGTACGCGTTAGAATGGGTGCTTAGATTCATCGTTGAATTGATCTTTATACATTATTTTCCAAAAATATTAGCAAATTTTGAGACTGGCATTTTCTGGAAAACATGATAACCATGCGATATCTGTGTCAGGTTCTCCTCAGCCCGGGCAAATACAGAATATTGCCACCAACATGCTGGTGCACACACAGGTGTGCCTGACCGATTTACTACCCCCAGACATGAGCGAGCTAAACCTGACTTGTGTTTACATTGCTCATTATGAAATGGCAGTGAATTAAATGGAAGCCCATTCGGTGGAAACATAATGTTGTCTGTTCCCTCTACCTAAACTGTCTCATTAAAGCCCATCAGCAGATGTTTTTACATTTCTTCTTCAGAAGTTGTAGAAACGTGTTTTGGTTTTCCACAGGAGTCGTCAAGGCTGTCTTCATTTGAGCGTTGCCTCGTCTTGAGGAAGTCTGTGTTCTCTGAAAGCTGGCATTACGGGCTTCCTGTGCACTTGGTGGCCTGCTCCATGGTTGGCTGCTCGGGCTACAGAGCACAGCTCCATGCTGACCACTTACGAGGCACTCGGGGACACCTGGGGGCACCTGTTGTCACTGGCTTAGCGTAGGACTGCCTCAGCGAGACAGTTTTAAAAGCCAGCTCCCTCAGTCATATCTTCTTGGTACAGCACAAGCAGCTCTTTCTGACTTAAATTTTAAAATTCTAGCTAAAATCCCTATCTCCAGTAAATGTGACCAAATGTCTCTTCATCTTTAAAAGGGGTTTTTAAACAGAAGATAAACTACTGAAAATAACTGGCCTGGGGATGAATGGTCACTCTCAGTTTACTCATTTTTTCTTTTCCTATTTTTAGTGATTGCCATCGATATCGATCCTGTTAAGATTGATCTTGCTCGTAATAACGCAGAAGTTTACGGGGTAGCAGATAAGATAGAGTTCATCTGTGGAGATTTCCTGCTGCTGGCCTCTTCTTTAAAGGCTGACGTCGTGTTCCTCAGCCCACCTTGGGGAGGGCCAGACTACGCCACCGCAGAGACCTTTGACATCAGGACCATGATGTCCCCCGATGGATATCCTTTAACGTGCTGAGCATTTACGCAGACGGCGCTCGTGGAGGGGAAGGGGGACGTGTGTGTATGACAGAGAGCAGTTAGTGAAGAGAGGAGATGTTGGCCGAGAGAACATAGGATAGATTCCAGTTTCTTTTCCTTTCACAGTCTCTCCCAGTTTGCTTTAAAGAGAGCAGATACGGGGACCAGCGGTTAGCGTAGTGGCTATGTTGCTGAACTTCCATGTAGTTGACGCGGTTTGAGTCCCGGGCCTGGTGGCTTAAACTCACGCTGGGAGCGTGTGCGTGCATCCCCGAGATCCCAAGAGGAGAATGGAGGAGAAGAGATAGCGGCGTGGCCTTCCCCCGTGGGGGGGTGATTTCTTACCTTCTGTCTCTCTTTCTTTCTCTGTGTTTCTGGTGAGTGCATGTACCCTATAGCAAAAACCTCTCCAAAAAATAAAAGAGGGAGAGAGAGCAGATATGTAAGTTGTGTGCTGGTTGGGCTCCAGAAGCGATGGCAAACATGAGATCATATTCCCCTTGGTTACTATCCAGTTTACTGTTTAAAGCAAGAACTAGAATGCACTAATTGTTTGGAATTATTGTCTGTCTAGAAAATGGGAATTTCCTCAAAACTTATCCCCAGAGTCTATGAGTGACCGTCCCATAGCTTGGCTGCAACTCACACTAACTCATGTTACTTCTCTTTGTATCTTCAAGTTTTCCTTGTTTCTCTTCCAGATTCTGAAGCAAACCTTTATTTCATAAAGAATAACATGAATTGCTTTCTCTTTCTTCACCCCCATACTCCAGAGAATTACCTGCTTGACTCTTTTAACAGGAGACATGTCTCTAAATTGCTAATTAAAATATAGAATGCAGACTACAATGACAGACTTTATTTTTACTAGAAAGCAGAGATATCATGATTTCCTATTTTAATTCTATTTTTCCAGTAATTAGGAAATAGCAAAAAGAATATGTATATCTGGTTCTTGACTGCCTCCTGCTCAAGTAATTAAATTAATTACCTATAATTTCTGATCCATCAAGGACAGTATGCTGCTAAGTTTTAAAATATTGTACTTAATTTTAGGTTCTCTATTAGAGAATTTAAAGTTATGTCTTTTTTTAAGATGTTGAAATACCCTCAAGTTACAGTAAGTAAAGCTCCTCACTTTCTGATAGAAATGAACTCTGCGTTACTTTTTCTTAACTGCTCTCCACGTTTGAAATTTTCAGACTTTCCCAGAAGATCACTAATAATATTGTTTATTTTCTTCCAAGAAATGCTGACATCGACCAGGTAAGCATTTACTGAAAAACTTGCATGAGTTTCTGGCTGAACTATTACAAAGAATGGGCAGAAAAAGTACAGGGCATTTCCTTACCACAAGAATGTGGATTATGAGAAGTCCTGGGCTTGCTGACTGTTTAGAAACTGGAAGTGTCTGGCAGTTAGAGACATGTCTGCAACCTCTTCTTCTTTTCCTTTTTGCTCTAGAGTGCACATGCTTGTGGGAAAGAGAGCGAGGGAGGGAGAGTGAAAAAATCACACCCCAGTGTGATTTGACCACAGTGCAATCCCTTCTTCATTCTCCTCAGGATTTGGGGCACACACACACATGCCCGGCATGGTTTTTAAGCTGTTGAGTCTGGTACTCGAACTACACCATCGGCCATGTGGGATCCAGCCACTCTAACCTAGTTCCCGCCTGCTGGCCCTGCCCTTCTCTCATCACTGCTGCTCCTGGCATACATAGACACGACAGAGCACTCTAGACTTTGACTTGGAGGCATTGAAAGGGCGTTGGAGTGTGTCGTATTTCAAATGCTGCACAGTAGATTAGCCTCGATCTGCCCTTGCTGAAACCCACCTTGAGAAACAAGGTTTTGAGTATTTCTGAAACTAGGAGCCTCAGCAGAATGGTAGAGACAGGTAAGATCTTAATTTGACCAGGGACGATAGAAACTAGGGAACTATAGTCTTGGAGGATAGGACACTTGACTAATATTAAATATTCTTTTAGTTCTTAGCAGTGCTCACTTTTCTTTCACCAAGGCGGATTAGGTCGGGTATGGTAGCTGCCTCTTAGAGGTTCAGTGATGTCTTCATTTCATGCTTTTGTTGATTCCTCCCTGAACACTTACTACCTGTTTTGTGCTCTATTGAAAATGTTTTGTCTTTCATCTTTCGTATTTCACTGTAATGGTGCTAGTTGTGGATTTTTCCTTTCTCTCCTATTTCATACTCTCAGAATTAGTCCTGTCATTCTTAGGTATTTTTCTTTTTATTATTATTATTATTGTTTCCTTAATTTGTTTGTCCCATGAGTCAGAGAGCACCTCTCAGGGTCCTGATACCCCAGTTCATCTGCAGCTGTAACCAGCCCCACGTCCTGGACTTGCACGTGCCCAGCATGCCAGGGAGGTTTCCTGACATGACACAGAACCTTCCCGTCTGAGTCAGCTTCACAGAGCACCACGTTTACCACTGAGCCACTGTCTGGCACCTGCATCCTTTATTTGCTTTTTTTTAATCTTTAATTTGCCAGAGGATGCATGTACTTGGCAGAAAGGGGAGGAAGGAAAGTGACAAAATACTCCCGATGGGGTATGGTGTTACCATAATCCCTTCTCCTCCTCTCCCTCCATTTATAATTTTGGGTAAGGCCAACAGGCGGCACAATGGTTAAGGCACTGGACTTCCACATGGCCAACCACAGTTTGAGTCTCAGACTTGAACTGGAGGCTTGAAACTTACACCCGGCATGTGGGCATGTGTGCCCAAAGTCCTGAGAGAATAGAGAAGGGATTGCAGCATGGCCATCCCCCGGGGGTCAATTTCTCACTTCCTCTCTGTCTCTGTCTCTCTGGCAAGCACACACACCCTTATAGCAAAAATTTCTCTGTAAAATAAGCAGAATTTGGGGCCCACATGCACCCAGCATGTTTCTCAAGCCACCAGGTCCACGACTTGAACTGCCCAGTCAACCACGTGGGATCTGTCTGTCTCAACCACCATAGCATGAGCTTGTCTCCATATTTTTTTTATTTAGGAGTTTATCTTCATTATTGTGTCCCTTCTTTATTTATTTCCCTTTCCCTGCAACATCTACAGTAGCCCCCCTGCCCATTCCACATTTCAAGACCCCCAGTGAATGTTTAAAACAACATATATTATAGAACTGTCTATATACTGATATTTTCCCTATACATACATAACCTATGATAAAGTTTAATTTATAATTAGACACAATGAGATATTAACAACAATAGCTAGCAAAAAGAAAAAAAAAAAAAAGCAGTTATAGCAATATATTGTGGGCCAGCAGGTATGGTGGCGGTTACACTGGATCCCACATGGTTGATTGTGTGGTTTCAGTCCCAGACCCAGTGGCTTGAAAATCATGCCAGGTACATGTATTTGCATGCCCAGAGTCCCCAGAGGAGAATTAGAGGAGAGAGGATTGTGGTATGCCCATCTCCCTCCGGGGGTGGGGAGGAGAAGGGTGATAACTCATTTTCCTCCCCCTCTCTCTCTGGCAAGCACACGTGCCCTGTAACAAAAACATAAATAAATAAATAAACATAAAAATATAATAAGAGCTTTGTGAATATGGCCTCTCAGAATTACTGTGCTGTACCACTGGTAACTAAAACCACAGCGAGTGAAACTGTGGATAAGGGGCAACTACTGCGTTATGTGAGTATTGGTCTTCCACATCTATGTTTTCTGGGTTATTGTCTCCTTTTTCTTCTTAATTATTTCAGTCTGGTCTTTCAAATCAGGTATATTCGTTGTGTTCCAGTTTATAAACTTTTTTCTTCATGGTGCCTGTGCCTTCAATGTTTTAACTTACAAATTTTCTAGTTTTTGCTGAGTGGCATTTCAAAACTACTGAATTCGTGGTCCAGTGGGAAAGATAATGATTTATTTCCTGGGATAAGGCCCAAGTATAAATTGTGAAAGCTCCCCCAAGTGATTGTACTGTGCTCCAGAGTTAAAATTCTCTAGGTTAAAAGAAGAATAAATGAAATTAGCAAGGCTGAGTTTTTACTCTGAATTAGAAAGAAGTGAATTTAGGGACCAGCAGATGGCGGAATGGTTATGCTGCTGTACTCCCACATAGTCAACCTGTGACTTAAAACTCGAGCTGGGTGCGTGTGCATGCATGCCAAAATCCTGAGAGGAGAATGGAGGTGAAGGGATTGTGGTGTTCTGTTTATCCAGTGAGCACACACACCCTATAGCAAAAATCTCTCTTAAAAAAGAAATTAAAAGAAAGAAATGAAATTAGATCTTTCTGCCTGCCATCTATGATTCACTACATATAAACATGAAGTCTCTCATAATAGTGCGTGCTAATACCAATTATAAGAAAAAAGTGTCAGGGCCCTGACACAACAGGTGGCTTAGTGGTTAAGGCACTGGACCCCCACGTGGCTGACCATGGTTCAAGTCCTAGACCTGGTGGTTTGCTTTCTCACTTTCCTTCTCTCTCTGGTGAGTGCATGTGCCCTATAGCATATTAAAAATAATAATAGTAATAATAATAAATAAAAGGTTTTTTTTTTTTCCTTTGAGAGGTTTTCGCTATAGGGTGCGTGCACTCGCCAGACAGACAGAGAGACAGAAAGCGAGAAATCGCCCCCCCCCCCAGGAGGGATGGCCATGCTGCAATCCCTTCTCTCCATTCTCCTCTCGGGATCTTGGGCATGCACGCACACACGCCCGGAGTGAGTTTTAAGCCACTGGGTCTAGGACACGAACCGCAGCCGACCACGTGGGAGTCCAGTGACATAGCCATTACGCTAACTGCCAGTCCCCAATAATAAATAAAAGTTTTTAAAGAGAAAGAAAAGAAAGTCGCCACAGCTTTGTTTCATGATTGTGTTATATCATATTTGACTAACATCTGTCACTCGTGCGACTCAGCTGCTTTCTACGCTGCCAGGTCACACGGAGCTGGCGGATTCCCTCATTCTTATTTTCTCCTGTGTGAATGTGATGCTCCATAACTAGGCTCAGAAGACGTTATGTGAGCTTTGCAACGCTATATCATGATCCTGATAGCAAATATAGACTCATTTGAGTATCTGAGTAACTCTAGGAAGTCTACCGTCTAGCATAAAAGTTAGCAGGGATTAAAATTTTTCAGTTAAGACTTTCACAAAGATAAAGTTAACTTTTTTCTTTATCTCATTTTGGTTTACTTTGAAGACCTGCCAGAATGAGAGTTAGTGGGACGTTCATGTTTTCTGCCTCTAGAGGGAGCAGTGACACTGGAGAATGGTGGAGTCACCCAGGAGACTGGGGGATTCCGGTACATCATTTTGTTGAGTATTGAATTCAGATCAAATCACAGTGGGAAGTCAACATTTCCCTTTTTTTAATGGAGAAAAATCTATCCATATGTAGGGCTTTTAAAAAAATAAGACAAGGTAGTAGAAGACAGAGATCACAGCATGGTTTATTTTTTAAAAGTGAGTTTTTGTTAAGGAACATTCAGAATGTCACAAGAGCCTGAGCTTACTGATCAATGGGCTCCCAGGGTCTATGAGCTGGCTGTTAGGAACTCAGGCTTCATTTCTCCCAGAGAAGCTTCCGTAGGGGACAGTTTTGCATCCAGGAGACTGCCCTGGGTGACATCCATACTCTTCCAGACGGAGTATGGACTCGGTGTGGATGCAGCTTGTCTTGAAGGCCTGATTGTAGGGGTGATGCTCATTGGCTCTGCATCTGGTGAAGGGTTCTAGGTCCCGTTCACGTTGATCTCCTACTCCCTTTTTCTGTGTGGGGGTTGTTCCAGGGCATATATCCCTTTTTATTTAAATTCTTACTATCAAACCAAAGAACTGAAACATTTAGAAAGTCTTTTTGTGAGACACTCTTTGAAGGAAGGGTACACGTCACTCTCAGAAATCACTATTGAAACCAGTCTTGGATTGGATTTGGAGAGCCCTGAGTAAATGTATTTATCTGCTACTCAGTGCTTCTGTCCTGCTGTTTCCCTTTCTTTCTTTCCTTTGACAGTCGTAGAATTCCAGCCAGTACTAGCTGTGGCTCTGCCATACTTCACAAACACGGAAAGCTTCTCTCTAAGTAGTAACCTTGTATAATGCGGATCGAGGTCTCTGGACAGACTACGATGGCTGGTCTTCCAAAGGAAGCGGCACACAGCAGTTGTCAAGCACCACGTTTGCATGAAATCCCTGTGGGTGAATCTCGAATATGAGAGATCTACCTCTTAGCCAAGCATGGGAATAATGAGAGGGCTCCTGGTTCACATGGTACCCTCGTCC